AACATTCCTGATTTCCTTAACAAATAGCATATCCCTGGAATGTTCCAAAACCTGGAATATGCTATTTGTTAAGGAAATCAGGAATGTTAACATATTGGTACAAGAGCTGAAAAGCTCACAGCCACGCTGACTCCTGATGCTGACCTGTGGTGGCATCTGTAGAAAGGGGATGGGAGCGTTTGTGCCCAGAGACTCCGTACAGGTTGAACTTGTATCTGTGTGAAGGAACCAGGTTGGTCACAGTGACTTCACGGGAGCTTCCCTCCACAGGCAATGCTTGGGGTTGGCCATCTGCATCCTTGTACTGGATCAGGAAGGAGTCAAAGCTCCCGGTGGGGACAGTCCAATAGAGATGGACAGAATCGCTTGTGACGTCAAGGACTGAGAACTCCCCCAGGCTCAGCTGGGGGGAAGTTATCTCCTCTGGGTCTGAGAATTGGGTAAACAAAGGATTTAGAAGAAAACACTTGGTTAGAATTTTTGGCTGTACAAAATCCAATCTAGCAGCTGGAACATTCAATAACAATGCTTCTTATTACAGAAACCAAAAAGTGCACATGAAATAATAATATATGTAAAGCCTCAAGCCACACTGATTCTTGAAGCTGATCTGTTGTGGCATCAGTAGAGAGGGGGCTGGACCATTTTGTCCCAGAGACACCATAGAGGTTGAACTTGTATCTTCAGGAAGGAGCCAGGTTGGTTATAGTGACTTCATAGGAGCCTCCCTCCACAGGCAACGCTTGGGGTTGGCCACCTGCATCCCTGTACCGGACCAGGAAGGAGTCAAAGCTCCTGGTAGGGACAGTCCAATAGAGATGGACTGAATCCCTTGTGATGTCAAGGACCAAGAGCTCCCCGAGGCTGGGATAGACAAGGACTGATTCCCTTGTTTGCTCTGAGATTTTTACAGGAGCGAAAAGACAGAAAGACATGAATGATAGTACAATCAATAAAGACGGTTTGTATTTCTGGATCCTTAATCATATGAAAACACTATATCAATCCAAAATACTTTGAGAGAAATGTAGAAAACTGTAGCTGAAAGGATATTTTGATTTCAATCTAACTATAAGCAATTAACTGGATGTTCAATTTCTAGCCACAAGCTTCTCTGTGCACTGACCTAAAGCTGATAGTCCCAAGGGAAGCCGAGATCAGGAGTGTTTGTTTGTGTCTATATGGGTCATAGACAAAGAAAAAAGAAATAGAAAAGAGAAGTTGGATGTTTTCATGGGACAATAGCTACCGCAAGCATAAAAGCAAAGAAGTAATAGAAGTAATATGTTTGATGCCAATGCTGCATCATGGAAAATAACAAAGTCAAATGTGTGAGTGCAGTCTCTGAAAAGACTCTGACTCAGTCATTTCCTGAAGCTGACCTGTTGTGCCATCAGTGGAGAGGGGACTGGATCGTTTGTGCCCAGAGACACCATAGAGGTTGAACTTGTATCTGCGGGAAGGAGCCAGGCTGGTCACAGTGATTTCATTGG